ATATAACACATTTGGGGTGTTGAAACAAGAATGAGTGACATTCTTGACATTCAACAAAGACGCATTTCTGTTTGAGCACCTGAAAAAATGCACTTTTTTTTAAAATATAGAGGCTTTTAATGCACTTGTCTATCACATTACCACCATTTCCTTGAGCACCACATACAATAACAGAGGATTTTTGCACAGTCTGTTTTAATGTTGTGCTTTTGAAGTGTTACACAATTATCCTGATGATGATCTTTTCTTATCCGTGTGGATTTTTTTGCAATTAGCATGTCCTGATTAAGCAGCAACTTCCAGGGCTGAAAAAGGAAGCAAACACAGAAGTGCCAAAAACTGCAGTTCCTCGAATGGCCACTTGAGGTTGGCTCCAGAAGTGAGTCAATGCCTATTACTCTGAGTGGGCGGAAGTTCGCTGCATAGATCAGCCTCTCATTGGGCGGAATGAGCCACCCACTGAAGTCCCGCACTACCACCTCCAGTTGTGTAGCAGTTTTCAACTGTTTTCAACCATTTTCAACACATCCTTTACTAACTTTTGCGGTGTTTGATCTTGCGGGGATGTAGCCATTTTTCTGCCATGGTTCGCATCCTGTAGGTGATATTTTTGTGGGCGTGTTAAACCAAAACCTGTTTCCCCCCGGCAATATTTTTGCAAGCGCACCGTTGCTGTGGCACCGCCCAGAACGATTGTGATTGGTTGAAAGAAATAAAAAGAGCCAGGGCATTTTTTTCTCCAATCTTAAAGTGAGAGTCGGCCCAGCCAGACCTTTCTTTTCTTGAGAAAGGTCTGGTGAGCGAGACTAATGCCTATAGACACCCACAATAAAACATGTTTACAACCTGGTATAAAAGATAATTTCTTTGGTCCTGACAACTGTACAGGTGTAAATTCTTTTCATTACTCACCTGTTTACATTTTATTAAGGTGTAAAACTATGAATAATTAAGGGAGGGCCGAAGTGAAGTCAGACCTACCCACAGCTCTACTGTCTCCTCTGAATTTGGTCACCTCTGGCTCCAAATGAACCAAGAAGATGACCAAAATGCCAAACTTGAGGCTTCAAAATATAAGTCACCAAACTAATGGGCGACGTCACGCTAGCTACGTCCATTATTTTGTGCAGTCTGTGGTTATGATCTTTGATTTTTTTTTTTTTTAAATAATATTTTTTTTTTGAGTTTTTGAGACTGCACATGAAAAAAAAAACAGAAACCTGATAAACTATTTGACCTATTTTGACCCCTGTTTCTTGCCTCATATTGCTTCAGCTCACTTATAAATGTGGTCACATCAGACCTCCTTTGAAGTTGTACCTCTAATTGAAATTTAACTTTGAAGTGAAATTTGGTCTTCCTGCTTAGTTTTATATATAAACTGTTTGAACATTTAGTTATGATGTGCAAATACATTTTTCACCTCGGGGCAGGATGTCAAAATTTAACACGTGACCAACACTAACATGGAAATATTGATAAAAGTAATGTATTGTTGTTTCCGAATTAATCATCAAATGGTTTAGTGTTTTCAAAACCTATTTTTGTATTAAAATACAAGCATACAATTCAGTCTGATCCATGTCATAATTGTAAACATAGCCTATATTTGTTGATTTAATTAATGCTCGAGGAAAAGAAAGCCATCTGCCATGTCTCCTAGTTCTGGCAATTGCCTCATTTTAATGACCTCAAAGGACACACAATATATATACTGTGAAGAAAACCCTCCCTTTTCTTGTCATCCAAGGAATTTAAGGATAAATTCTTTAGCAGGGCGGAATAAAGTCCTGCCGAGGAACAAAAACTACAAAAGCAGCCAAATCTCTAGTATTATAATCCCCGTGTATGACAGTGGTTTTTGAAGTCAAATCATTTCATACAATGAAATCCTCCTCCTGTCTGTCTTGGGGAAGAAAAATCTATAAAACCGCCTGCTTCCACGTAGGAGCGGAGCGGTGCCAACAAATTCCAAGCTTCCATCATCACACACAAACACACAACCCAAACCAAGACGACTCAACTCAGTCGCAGAGCACACAGACTCCTGTACAAACTGCCAAGGCTTCTAGCTGCAGGCTAACCAGCAGCTGCCCCCCCTTCACCCCTCCATGATGATGATGTTTGTGAGAGAAAGACAGAATGAAGAACAGAGCGAGACATAGGAAGGGCGAGGATGAAACAAAAGAGTATCAGAGAGAAAGTGATATGAAGAGAGAGCGTGAGGACGTGTGTGTTATGTAAACCCCAGGTGGTGCTTGTTGTCCTGGATAGAAGTATCACCAGGGGGACGACTGCTCCAGCTTAGCAGGTCTCTCCACACACCTCTCTCTTTCCTTCCCTCCTCTCCTGTTTTTCCACAAACACACACACACACACACACAGAGAAGCAAGAGTCAGGGAGAAGAGAAATGAATAAAAAGAGGGCAGCGAAGGAGAGGTGAAGGGAGGAGAAGACGTGGGATTACTGAGGGGAAATGGAGGGAAGGAAGAACGAAGGAGACAATCGAGAGCAGGAGGAGGGAAGGAGGAGAGGAGCGAAATGCATTAAAAAACCATTTCAGAAATGTCAGTGTGTAGTTTTGGAAAGCACAAACACTCCACCTTCAACTGGTTGTTATTCAGTCACGTGTGCAGCCTGGGAGGGTATGATCTATTTCCCCCCTGTGCTGTGTTTTGTATTTTATCTGTTTACTGGTGGTTTCTCCATACCAGTTTCCCAATGAGCACAATCATGGGAAGAGCCTTTCTGGATCCATCTGCATATATCACACACATTTCCACACCCACACAAACACAGCTCCCTGAGGGGCTGTTGTCGATGTACTCTACACCTGATGCATCTGCGGGGAGAGTCGTCTCCGTGCTGAAACAGCAGGAAAGAACATCAGCAGAGATGTTTTATGGTCCCTGTCCGACTGCTGACTTAGGATGGGCTTCACTGTTCCAAATCTTGACCTCTACTACCACTGTGGAAATCCCAACACTGACCCCAGATCAGCACTTAAAGCTGAGCAGCTGTGGGAATAGAAAACAGACAAGTGGGGGCCCAGATCCGGAGCAACACTGCCCCCCAATGGTTCAGACGCAACGGTGTATCTGGTGGAGATGACGTAAGGCCAGGCTGTGTTAGTGTGTGTGCTGATACATGTGCAAGGTGTGAATGGGTGTCAGGTTTAACTGTAAGCACATGAGGCAGTTCATTCATTCATTATATTCAATATTGTTCCATGAGACAGCATTAAAACACATCCATGACATATTTTGGGGGGTAAGTTCACCCCAAGTTAGACAGAAAATATAAACTCAGTCTTGAAAAGTAAAAATTTAGTGCCTACTTTGGACTATAAGTCATGCATTATGTATTGCTTAGGCAGGAAAAACTGAGTTTATATGTGGTTTGGGGAAATGGTATATGTCCCCTTTTAATGGCAGTCACTACTTTGGAAGAGAAAAAAAAGGAGTCTGAGTAAATATAGATATAAAGTTTGAAAGAGCATGTAGGACATTTTTAGTGTGTATTTGATTTGCAAAGCAAATAGATTTCCAATTTACCAACCCAATTTAAAGCTATTGATGCTGAAGCAATAACATTTGGTCATTGCACAGGGAGGGAAAGATGTTACCACAGCGCCCAGAGGCAGCTCTGCTCCAGGCAGATCCTGCTCACTAACAACCCCCAGTAGGCAGCAAGCAGTGGAGCTGCAGGAAGATTTATCCTTCCAGGGCGGCTCAGGAAACACTGGAGCCCAATGCAGACACAAGTAAGACATCGCTAACCTTATTACCGCCGCGGCCAACTGGAACTCACAGTATGTCTCAGCTGTCATGAAACTTACATGAATGGGTTTTTTTTTCTTCTTTTCTCAACAAGTGAAGACTGGAAATAAAGCAACAGAGTTTATCATACACTGTGTGGTTTTACTGATCTGTGCCACTGCACTGTATTTTAGTCTTTTAACGTGTTTTTCAACTGGGAATTTGTGAATTGCAAAATGTTTGCCTCCTTGCTTATGTTTCTTTGATGTGCATAGGTACACAGCAGGGCCTGTTCTTTGTCCTCTGTGTGGAGATTGAATTCAAAATGGCCACAGTGGGACATAGAGAGGTAGGTGAAATCCCCCATAATGCCAAGCAAAGTGGTAGTCTCAACAAAGCTAGGAACATTTACAGGCAAAAATAGCATGTGTTCAATTGTATGGTGCGAGGACTATAATCTGGAGTCACTGAATGTGAATCACCTTTACATAAGAAGCATTAGCCTGCCGTTCTGACCCTCTATTTGTCTTCACTTGAATAACATGCTGTTGGTTGAGGAAGTAGTGATGGGCAAAGCAGTTCTTTAGATGTTACTGAATCACTAGAATCAGTTCATTAAAAAGATTCGTTCACTGAATCGTTCAGTGCTTGGCGGGAGGAGCCCTGACTGTGTACTGCATAGTCCGACTGACTGAACTGATACACGGCTGAGCTGCTGCTGCGTCTGCCCTGCATTTTAAGTTTGTTTATCTGGAAACTAAGTCTGTTAAAGCAATGGGGAGGTGTGTGATTGTGTTCATGTGGCTTGACTCCTGGGTACATTAGCTGTTAGCTTGGAGAAAACGGTCCCTATGAAAGTGTATCACTGAGAAGAAATGATTTGAATCACTCAGGGATCTGGGTTACATAGTTCACCGAGTGATTCGTTCACAGAGTTATTCATCATGCAGTAGGCAGTTCCTCCCTGCACCCTGGCTGCCTCGCGACTCGAGAATGATTCATCGTTTGCACGGACCAAATTGGCAGTTCCACCTCTGGCCTGCATGCTCGCTGCTGAACTCAACTGAACTGAGAAATGAACAAATCTGTTCTGGAAGTGATTCAGTTCAGTACGTTCACTCAACAGATTCGTTCTTTTGAATGATTCGTTTGCGAATGACACAACACTATGAGGAAGAGGACTTCCAATGCACTCAAAAAAAAAAAAAAAAAAACGATATAAGAGATAAACTTATGCAGAGTTGCAATGATTCAAAAATATTTATTTTCATTTGGCAGATTAAGTCCTTTAAATGTGCAGTGTACTGTACAGTATGCAAAATATGATTAAATGTTATTATTCACATCCCTCCACACCAAACCAGCTTTCTCTTTTCCCCCATTTCATTTGAGGCAGCTGCAGGTAGGGGCCCACATCCATGAGAGTTAACAAATTACACATTTGCCCTTAGAGGACCCGACCAACTTTGTGTCGAAATAACATTTTCCACATCCACTCTCTCTGGTTGGCATTTGGGGGTTCAGGGAACCACAGCAATCAGGGCTGGATTAATAATAAGATTGAATGCCTGAGGTGAACTAAGAAACAGAAGGATAAAAGAATATCAGAAATATGGAAATGGCCTTTTATTATCATCAGACTGTACTTGAACTGTTGACTGTAATCGGAGCTATGCCGCAGCCTGTTTGCCGGGTAATCAGACAAGTGGTTCTGCATACTGAAAGGACCGGCTCACAAATAAATAAAACAACTCTCGAAATCCTTTGAAAACCAAATGACAGCTAATATCAAACACAGCTGACTGGGCTTCTCTGTGCCTCTCTGGCTTTGCTCGGATTTAAACATGATGCTGAAAATGAGATTTAACAGTCTGATTTATAGATATTGTCCCTGATGTTGAGTTATGTCCCTGTTTCACGATGTGTGCCTCAAGGTCTAGAAAGTTTTATGTTTAATCACTTCATCTTCCCCGTGCGTCTGTGAGGGACCGAACACAACGTCTGGTGACCTTTGGAGTGCGAGACAAAATGAAAGGGCTGGTTCACCCAAATCACATTCACTTCATTTGTGCCACTTTCTACTGGAGAAATTGTCCCTATGAATAGTCAGAGAGCTTCGCTGAATATCTACAGCACAGACAGCTTTTAAGTTTTTATCATTGTGAGCGGCACAAACAAAAGTGGCCGCAGAAGTTTCTCAGACTGATGTTTCAAATAAAGATGGACCTTTTCATTGCTATTCTGTTGCCACAGAAACAGCTTTGGCCCCTGTTTGTTTCCTGTCAGCTACTGTATTAAGAATCATTGCAACAGGAAATACAAAGGGGCCCGTTTAGAATGATTATGCTGTCAACTTAAAACCTACTCTATGCTACTAGTGGTGACCAAGAAAATGTTATTTCAGACTTTTACAGAAATCTGTCAGTGATGCAATCATGCCACAAGGAATCAAAATGTTCAACAATATGTACAAACTGGGTTTAATGGCTCCGATTATGGTTATATCCTGATGAAGATGATCAAAAAAGATACGTCAGTTTCAGTAGTTGGAGCACTGCCTGTTCTGGGGTTGAGATAGAACAAGCTGCATGTATATAAACATATTCAGAATTTTAAAAAGCTGTCTGCTTTCTGAAAGTTTCCAGTGTGTGACTGAGAGTTGTGCCAGATGTTTAGTGCTGTTTGCTGACAGTGACAGCTACTGAAACCAAATAAGCGTGCGCCTTGCCACCTGCTTCTCTCCTGTCTCAGAATGCGGGGAGTTGATGTGTCTCTGCCTCTGCAAGGAAAGCAGAATATTGTTACCTGCACAATATCTTCTCCAGAACGGTCCAACAGCAGTTTAAATGCAGGTTTCAGTCAGAGTATAACAACCTCCAAGACTGTTTTAAGCCCTGCACACTGATTGAGACGTTACAGCTGTGATTCTTTTTGCCGTTTATGCTATTAATCAAAGTGTGTCCTTTCCAGTCTTCTTTAAATGTGTAGGATGGGCTTGACTCATTGTCCAAGGTATCTCCAGGGGTATTTAAAATGTTATAGTATTGATTTTTTTTTTGTGCTATTCATACAGTACGAGTGATCTCAGCTGGCCCTCGCCGGTCTCGGTTGCATAGTAAAAGGACAGGCTTCATTGACTGTGTAGAGTTTCTTCAGGAGGATTCGAGGGCGGTGGACACATGATAGGTCTGTGTCTTCATCCTCCGCTTCATCTCTCTGATCATCTGACAGACAGCCAGAGGATAACAGCAACACACTGTGGTCCAGTCCTCACACACACTTCCCTGTGGGTGAACATGCAGACAGGACAATGAGGTACATGAAAAGACACACACATATATTTACTTGCACAACTTATACTGAACGTCACTGTATTGATTAACTACTTTCTTTGGCTTTCCGTCTACTGTGGATTCTTAAAGGAGTTCCTCAAGCACAAAATAACAATTTGCATTTTAATTAGTCATGCCATGTTACTTTGGATTTGTGAAGAAAACTTGTTACTCTCACATGCCTCCACGGAAAACAGCAAATGCATTGTTTTATTGATTGATCGGGGGCCGCTTTAACAACAGCAAAACTGTACCGAAACATCTGTTTACAAACTCTCATAAAACTCAAGCAGTATAATCTAAATCTCATTTATCCAGCCATACGCTCATAACTTCCCAAACACCTTAAAAGTTAAAACTGAAGTGAAAGTGAAACTTATCTATGTGGGAAGCACTTAGCATACATGGGGTCTTAAATCAATCAATAAATCAATATGTTGTTTTCCATGGAGGCATGTGAGAGAAACAGTTTTCTTCACTAATCCAAGGCAACAAGGTGTGACTAACTGATAAACAAATGGTTATTTTGTGGGTAAAGTATTCAATTAAAACCATATTGGATGTCTACCTGTGGTGTGTTCAAGGGCAACAGCAAATCTCTACTTGCTATTGACAAGTGTGCACTTGAGTACACACACTCACCCGTATCTTGTACCGCTCCCTGATCCCAACTCGCATGGCAAAAGTGGATCCTGGTAGCAGAGGCATGCACAGACACTCGCCATACTGGTGAGCTAAACTCAGGTCCAAACAACACGGCACCAGAGCCCCGAGAATACCTGACAAGCACAGGTGAGCACAGTGTGTGTTTGTGACGAACAAAAATCACATTTAAAGGATTCTGTCAGATGCAAGACTGATCTAAGGATAAATAAATGATGATTTATTTGTTCTTTCTTCACAGAAACATCAAGTTAAACTCATTAACAAAGAATAAGAGACTACCTGTAGATATCAGGGAAGCAAGCTCGCTAAATATTTAGAAGAGAAAGCTAAAAACGTATCGTTCACTTTAGCCTTAAACTAGCTCTGACTTCCTGATACAGGTCTTAAACTCTTTCTTTTTACACTTCAAAATCTCTTACTTGATTATCTGATTTATAGTTTTACAAATCTATGATTTTATGAATCAGTTTAACCATGTTTTAAACTGTTTTTAAATATCCTTTTATATTGAATTTCCTTGTCTGTTTCATGTTCATTATGTCTATTTTCATGTGAAGCATTTATTGCTTATACTGCCCTTATTGTAAAGTACTTTGTGCTGCATTTCCTGTATGAAAGGTGCTATATTAATAAAATTTCTTATTCTTATGAGTCAGAGTTTTGATTGGTGTGTGTGAGCCCTGTGCATGTGAATTTCTGGCTGTGTTTTCATGTTACATGTCATCTTGTCTCCGCAGACGTCAAACAGGCCTGTGCTCCAGCCTCCTCCCGTCTGTGTGATGGTGGTGATGGTTGTCGTGGTGACACCGAGGCCGGGCTGCGTGAGTACCGGGTCCGTCGCTGCAGGGACATCATTTGACCTCGAGTCATCTTCACTTCCTGCGGTGAAGCCCCCCACTTCCTCCTCTTGATCTGCTGATGCTGAGTCATTGGTGACCGACAGCCCGGGCCTGAAATGAGATTTTGCATGGATCTGACTTCATATAGATGTTTGATAAATCCACCACAGCTTGTTATGCCTCTGATACTCAACTGCAGGCTCAGTGTTAGGAGACTGAAATTAGAGAGTTCGTCTCTTTTTTTGGTTTCTGATTTAATTCATTCAGCAAATTTTATTTTCCTAAAGCATGTTTTGTACTCAGCTGGCCGCCTATGAAATTTTAGCAGCACGCCACCACAATTAAACTAATATTATACTACCACTGGATGTGATAAAGAACGTGGCCTTCAGCAACACTTAAATTACCACAAATTCTAGCAAAGGAAAATCAAAATAAGTAAAAAAAATTTGTACGCAGCAATAACAGATTCAAGAAATGTTTTTGTTAATTTGTATTATCGAGTGTCACAGACAGAAGAAAGAAGAAAAAGATTCAGCAAAAACACGGCAGCATTAAAAAAGCTGAATAAGATAAGTGAGCCGTTTGGTGTAATTCCATTGTGCTCATTGGTGACAACGCTGTGTGCTGGTAGGGACAAAAACAAACACTTACTGGTGTGTGACTGTTGTCTGCTCCATGACTAGAAGCTACTGGCATCCAAAGAAGAGCGAGGCGACGAGGAGGCGAGAGAGGAGAACAGGGAGTCAGCAGGAATGAGGAGGTGGAGGGGGGGTGCGGAGTGACACTTCCCCAGTGAGAGGGTGTGTTTCGGAGCAGATAAACCAGCAGTCGGATGGCTCGGCCAGAAGCTGTGTGACAGAGATAAGTCTTGTAGTTGTCTTCTGTCTGAGACTTTACTGCGCCCCCTGCTAATACAGCAAATGCAGAGAGGGCAGATACACATCAGGGGGCATGAACACAAATGCCTTGCATAAAAATAATCAGATGTGAATGCCTGCATAGGCTTAACGCAAACACACCAGCGAGTCAGAACTCTTGCAAAAAAGTCATTATTTATTTACATGTTTACTTGTAGAGTGTAACAGAGACATGCTGCACATCTAAGACAAGCACAAGTATGACACATTAAGAAATGATGTCAGAACTATGGAGGTCAAACAGAAGCTCAAACAAGTTAAATCAAAACTGTTTGTTTGTTTGACCCATGACATTCAAAGGCATCTGTTGTTATTATTAAACTAATTAAAAAGACGTACTTACCCTCAAGACAGAAACTCGCTCATACAGTGAACAGCCGGGAAGTGAAAGATGCATTTTAAAACAAAAGACACACGTGTGGTTCATGCTAAGAGGGGATTGTCTGCATTCAAGCATTTCCTGTGCTCTGACATTGACCTTTCAATTTAGACTGATGTACAGTGTGTGTGTGTGAAGGTAACAGAAAGAGAGAAGTGAGGGGAGCTTTACATGGTGGAGGGACACGTAGTGAAACTAGAGTGGGTTTGGAGGTTCACTCGCATGTACACACAAACTTTGGTGTAAGTACATGCAAAGTGGACACATTTTTAACTGAAGCTCCTTCTCGGTGTGATGAAAATGTATTATAGTGGCATTAATTCTTTGTGTGCATCCCAGAAAGTAACATCAAAAAGAATAAAATTTAAAAAAAAAAGAATACACAGTTGTGTGGGATCTTTGAAATCAAAAGGAATGCCCCTCTGAAAATGTAGCTGATTTGCATTTGATTGTTGGCAGTTGTTTGACTAATAGTGATCCCTGATGGAAAGTCATTCTCCCAAAAGCCTTTGAAGCCGAGACCACAGAGACCAACTGGCAGAGGCAAACCCCTGGAACTGCTCTGAAACTGAGAGATATGATAGCAGTGTATTCTGTGCTATTAAAAAAGGCAGATGCAGATTCTAAATTTAAAGCAGTATATGAGCAGGATTTGTTGGCTGCAGTTTGTAAATACAACTTTAAAAGATGGCCCCGCTTTCACAGCTCAACCTGGCACCTGTGCTGCGTTTAGCCCCGACTAAACATGGCGTGATGGTGATGTTTATTTAAACAGAAACAGTGGTATGTTGGACACCAAGTTGTGTTACGCAGGTGTACAGCTTTCAATATGGCCGACTTTAGGTCATTCATTTTCTGTAACCACTCATCCAGCCCACCCTGGACAGGTTGCCAGACTATCACAGGGCTGACACATAGACAACCATTCACACCTACGGGCAATTTAGAGTCACCAATTAACCTGCATGTCTTTGGACTGTGGGAGGAAGCTGGAGTACCCAGAACAAACCCACACTGACATGGGGGGAACATGCAAACTTTGCATGGAGGGGCTCCCCCACCCTGGATTTGAACCAGGAACCCTCTTGCTGTGAGGTGGCAATACTAACTACTGCCCCACTGTGCTGCCCAGGCTTTTCAGTTCAATTCAAAGGGGCTTTATTGGCATGGGAAACACGTTTACACTGCCAAAGCAAGTGTGAAATAAAAACAAAAAAATGTATGTTAAGTAAGTAAACTACCAGAATCCAGCTTATATACATGTCGCTGCTGATTGAGTGCACCTCTGAAACACCCACCAATGAGTGGTGCTGCACCATCTCAAGGAAACATGTCATATCAAAATGGTGCACACCGTTTGGAGACTGAATGTGCCCCGGGAATCTATGTTCTTAGAGAGTCCTGCCCTCACACCCTGAGCGCTGTTACTGGCTGGGGGCCCAAAGGTTGACACCCGGAAATATTCCAAACACAGCAAAATAAGAAGATACAGGCAGCTGGCAGGGTCTCTGCAGAAACAGACACCACCACACACATCTAGTGGATTACAGGTGATGATTGAGAAGGGTGTATTTTTATGGGCTGGGGTAAACCCTGCTCATTTTGTCTTTAAAATTTAGTCATGAAGCATCAGTTTGAAGCGCACAGGTAGGGTCATTTGTGTCAATATCAGACCAGACTGAAACATGAGGCCTGGATTCAATTACATTCAAGTTGAGCTTCAACAATCATCTGTGTTTTTTTCATGTGCATGTCAGTTTAGACTATTTGGCTTCAGCTCTAAACCCATAAACTACATACGTGTAAATTAGTGAGCTGTAGAGGTGTTTGTAATCAGACTTTTTTTTTTACCTTTGAACACAGCCAGGCTAGCTGTTTTTCAGTTTCAAGTCTTCGTGCTTAGTTAGACTGCTGCTGGTGGTTGTGTGGCTTCAATAAACATAACATGTAAGTATCGATCTTCTCATCTAGTACTCAGCAACAAAGCAAATAATTATATTTGCCTAAATGCTGAACCTTTCCTTTAAGAGCAGATCGACCCACATGATAAAGCGAAACACTTCAGTTCTGCTAATATTTCGTTTATTCAGTCATCTAAAAGGTGTCTTGGCTATTGCATCTCCTTTGCATATCCCCACTCTAAGTCACCAGTAAATATTGTCTGTACGTGTTGTCATAGGCACAGATTTCACAGGGGACACGCCCCCCTTAATATTTAGAACATGTCCCACCCAATACAAACATGAAAGTAGCAAAGGACTTTCAAAATGAAAGAAATTTCCACCTTAAATGAATACAGAAAGGGCACATAGTGCTTAAAAATTCACCAGAACAAAAGGAAATTTAGTGTTTGATGCTCAAAATTTCCTGGGGGAGAACCCACAACCCCTCTGTTTCATATACATCTCCTCCAATGTTGAGATAAAACCTACACCCTCGTGTATTTATGCTGAAGCCTCGCAACGTCTAACCCCTCACAGCTACACTTCGTGCACACCGTCCTCATCAGAAGACTGCTAATGCTGCAAGATTATCCTCACTATCTGCACTATCATGGCAAAAGTCTTCAATGGCTTCACCAGAACCATGACACACGTCTTTTTTCATTTTATTCTTGTGGGTAACACTCGTTTTATTTATGTCCTTAGAAATAATAAAATAGCACAGTAAGGATATCGGGGAAACAAGAAACTGAATATTTCATAGGTTTTATTATTTCTCTGGAAAGCACAAGTCAGACAAGCACCATCCACCGCAAGAAAATAGGAAAGCTGTCTGACAGACTGACAAAACAGGAGGGAATGATATGCCTCACCTTCAATGTATAAAACAACACAGCAGACACATTACCATCTATATGAAAACAACAGGGGGATCCAGGCGCAGTCTTGCAACGTAATAACAAAATAAGTGGTTGGCCAGCGACAAAATAGGACATGGTGGTGGATGTTTGTTTGCCCTTTTAGAAGAAGAAACATTATTAAAAATTGTTATAATACAGATAGTTGCTTATTTATTGTGCATCATATCAAACAGGAAAGAGCGACCTATAGAGAAAAATTACAAGCGCTAACGTAAATCCAACAGACGAAAAGACCGGACAGAATACAAACTGTGGTGTTTAATCTTTAAGAGAAGCTTTGGGGTATTTTTCAAAATTGTATTTTTTTTTCACACCAATAAAAGAATCAAATTTACGTACCAAGGACCAGCATTATAAAGACCCTGAACCATCTCTGTTTTGTGCAGGCCAAACACAGATCTGAATGTACTGCAACCGTAGGTGTTTTTAAAAAATGAAAAATAGAAGCGAACATTTAAAGGTCTTACCAGTTTTCAGATATTAGGTCGCATTCAGCAGTGAAAAGGTGACATGAGAACCTGCGTATCTGTCAAATCTAACAACGTGTACAACAGTGAATGCTGCAGAACTGAAACATGATTTATAAAAACATACACATTTGTTTGAGTCACTGTTTTATGGCTTTGAGTCGAAATGACCCATCTGAACCTTTTACAAATAATTCACTGCTGAATGTGCCCAAGTGCCTGCCTTTGTGTGTGTGTGTGTGTGTGTGACAGAGAGAGAGTGATTAGTCTAATGAACAAGATAAACCAGAGTGTCCCCAATGTCCACAGTGAGGCCGTTGTCAACCAGAGTGACCCTCTTCTCCCCCAGATTGACGTTGAACACAGATTTGTTGGAGACTGGCAGTTTGCCCTGCTCCTCCTGTCCCAGGATGGGCACCCGGCGAGGCCCCCGCACGGGGTCCTCGTACCTCATCAACTTGACTCTGGACAGATCTGTTGGAGGGGCGGCAGGGAGAGTCAGGAGTCAGATGTGAGAGGGAGACAAAGTGAGAACCAAAAGAGGGAGAAAGAGAGAAAGGGGTGGAGAAAGTATAGAATAAAAGGGCAAGTGGTGGAGGTGGGACACAGGGAAGGGATGAAAAGATGGCGGGGAAAAGGTGCAGAGAAGGTTAAAGGTAAGCAGGGAAAGTGATGGAGGAGATGGTGAAATCAGAGCAGAAAGGGAAGATGGAGTAGGAAGGATGGAGGAAGAGGAGTGGACAGGCTACAGTGCCAACTGGCTCACACTTTGAACTGTGCTTACATAAGCTAATGCACTTTAACACTGTTTTTGTTGTTTTCTTCCCAAATCTGCTCGCATCTTAAAAAATACAAAACTTCAAACAAAAGAAAAACAATAGGGAGCAGCAGATAAAGAACCACACTGAGAGGGCAGAGTGCCTGGCGTTGTTATAGTCTGAGTGGAATTATTTCTTAAATTGCTTAATATGCAAATATGCTGAAGGGTGGATGCTGCTGGTTGTGCTAATGGCACACTGGTAAAGATACTTGCCCATAATGTAGTTACCAGTATAGAATGGGTGTAAATGGTCAACACAGAAAACACATGGCTTGGTTGTGGATATGAAGATGGTTAAGTCATGTAGATGGATACTGGATGCTCTGACTACTCATGAAAAGAGCTGGGGCCTATAGAGAGGATGGCTTTCAGACGGGGTGGAAACATTAAACATCCCTCAAACTATTTTTATCACATTAAATAAAGAGGGGAAAAAATGACTGCATG